ATATTTAATAATATTACAAAAGCATATAATATTAATATAATAAATATTATAGTAGGTACCATATACTGAATTTCAGTTATTGGATAAAAACTTAATAAATTTTGATTCAAGTTATTTTATCAGTGAACTTTTATTTTCCATTTGTTTTATTTCTTTTTTACTTTCATTTTTTCGCTCCTATTATTGTTGTTGTTGTTACTATTAATGTAATGTATTTGTATGAGTGTGTGCACGCGTAGGCAAGTATAAAAAAAATAAATTAATATAAATTTATTGAGAAGGAAATTTATTATTTTTAATTTAAATTTGTCAATTAAAAATTTTAAACAATGGCAAGAAATTTTTATGCCAAATTTCATCCTTAATTAATTGATTTCATTTAGTTTAGTTGTGGTTTTCAAACACCAATTTCGGTTGATTTTGGGGATGTTTCAAACCCCTGATGAGGTGTATTTTTAATCCAGTTTTCTGGATTAGGATTCAGTGTTTATATTGCAAACAAAGTTTGCGTTATATATTGCACTCAAATCAAATTTTTTTGTATGGTTACTTTTTTAAATATTAAATACCATTTGACTTTAAATAACTTATATATCAATAATAGTAATGAAGTGACCCATAGCTGCTAAAACCTCTTTTGGTGTATAACTAACTTGTATTTTGAAGGTTCTTCTTTTAAAAACTGCTAAAATAATATTTAATTAATATAGAAAATTGTGGAAACAATATTATAATTTTAACCATTATTTTTCTCATCATAGCTGATCTTTACAGGCATATATTATTCTGTAATTTTCGCCAGACAGTTCGACTAGTAGATTTCTGCCATTAAATATGTCATGTCAAATCATTCGTCTTTTCATTGGTGGGTATAAAATTGAACAACTTGCGTATGCAATATCCAAATTAAGAAATTCTCACCTATAGATATTCTGACTTCCATTTGAAAAGCTAAATGTCTTCTGTTTATTTACTGTTACTTATTAGTAAAAATATTCTATGATAGCCGGAGTGGTTGGTTCGACTACGATTCCAGAAACTTATTATATTCTATTTTATTTTATAATTGCTATATTATAAAAACATAAAACTAATTATAACAAGTATAAATGAATTTCGTAATTATAAACTAATATTATATTATTTGTAATTAATTGAATTTTTCTTTGACCATACAGCTGTTTCGTGTATCTCCAAATACACATCTACAGTGGTCTTGGAAATAATTCTTGTATTTAATTATTCGTAAATAATTTTTTTTTTTGAGATTGCAAATACCAGGAATCGAACTCGTGTCCTGCTAAATTTGAGGCTGAGAGTCAGCGCATCTTAACCAATTGATCCAAAGTCGTACTTGACTTGTATATGTTCTCACATTTTTCGAGAATTTTATTAACAAATTCACTTGCTGTGTTTATATTAGAACGAAATCATAAACCAGCTGTAGAATAATTGAATTAATTAATTATATTTTTATTTTTAATTATTAAATTTCAATACTATTCTGTTTGTAGAGGCATTATTTGTTTGTAATTATAAACTGTGTAATTTAAAAACCATGCTTTATAATTACATCTAGTTTATTAGGTTTTGTATATAATACATGGAAATAAATATTTGATTTTATATGCAAATTACCGTATCTTATATGAAAGCAGAAAGTTCTTTTCAAATATTTAATAAAAATTTGATAAGGTAACGTTATGCCTTTTATTTACAATTTAACGTTTGAAGAAAATTTATAACAGTGAAATATAGCCATAACTCCTCCATAACATTTAAATACACTTTTTAGTTTTTTATTTCAATACAAATAATATGATAAAAGGAATAAATACAATAAAAATAAAAACTACTTCAGTTGTTTCTGCAAGTGGTTCGCATTCATGAACGAAAAAATATATTTACACACAGCATTTGTATATTAAAACCATATTTAGATAAATATATATATGTAGGTATAAGCATTTCTATTAAAATGTAGGTTACCTCAATTGAAAGCAGAATTAGAACAAACAACTTAACACAACCATCAAAGTAATAACATTAAAAACAAGCCAGCATATGCGAAAGAGCAGATACCAGAAGAGTGCATGTTGTTTAGTATATTCTATCTACTTTACAGACCTACAAAGCTATTTTATAAATAAATGACTGTCATGTTATGTATAGAATAACTGCGGTATTTAATGAGAAATAAAATCCAATGCTCATAGTAATTGAGTAATAAGTGAGTAGTAATGTCGGTTGTCAACAGTCGGTAGTAATGTCAGCAATGCGAGCAGAACCGAATTCAAATGGTCACACTGCTTAAAATGCAATACATGTCTGTAATTAATATTAATGTGTGAGAAGTACGTACTCATTTATCACATATATCAGATACGATTCTGGTATAGTAGTAAAATACTACATCGCTCGCTTAATGCATACATATTCATTCCTTACTACAAATCAATTCAATGCAGTTTCTAATATACATTTCAATAGAATGAACGAACGAACGAACGAATCTACACACTGTACATTGCGTATAGTGTTATAGTAACAGGCGCTCATGCTCATTTATCTAATAATTCTCAATCGGTTTATTATGTTGATAATGAACTTGCTTTTGCATGCCATTCGACACGGTGTGCTAATATTTCGTTTTTTTTTCTTCTTTTTTTTTTTGGATTGTATCTCTTTTATTTTCTCAACTCGTTTACGTTTCATATATACTCAGTTTTCATTATTAATTACGAACATCAAAAAAAAAAAATATGGCAAAAAATAGTTTAATATGTGCTATCAGCAAGTAGAATTCGATAACAAATTTTTTTTTAATTTTTTGATTAGTTTGAAAATGTTTACGGATTTTATTTATTTGGAATTTGGTCAATAGTTTGAATTATAAGCAAACAAAAAAAAAAGAGATTCAAGTTCATTGTTGAAATTATCATCGGAGATTATTCCAAAAATAAATATAGCTTTTTAGAAAATTGCTTTAAATTGTTTAATAAAAGAAAATTCATACCAATTAAAATTAAAATTATTTGATTTAAAATAAATCAAATGATTGGGCAAGTTATGAACTAAGCTAGAAATGTGAAAAAAAATGCTGTATAACCTAGTAAAGAAATGTGTCTAACCGTAGTAAATTTTATATTTATTTATATTTAGTTCAAGTATTTATTATCGGAAAAATCAAACTCAAACATTTAAGTACTTTATATGTTAAATGTTGAAATGGACAATTGAGGTATCCGAGTTTGAAATAAATAGCAATCCACATTCGACTCAGTTTTCAGATATCCAAAATCATTCATCTTAAGTTTAAAGAATATAGCAGCTAATGAATTTATAGTAATTTCGAAGAAAATATAACCCATCTTGAGAAAGAAATCTACGAAAAGTGAAAGCACGGCGATACAGTATAAAATACAGTCTAGTATAGTATAAATAAATTATTATTTAATAATAATAAAAATAAAAATAATTACTTGTTGAATATACATAGTTCTAACTATAATAATCTAATTTTTTTAATTAATATAAATTGAAGACCATAAAAATTTTTATCGACCTTTTTTTTATAATGGTTTTTATATATATTTTTTATTCTGACATATTTCGATTTTCCTTGCGAGTCATCAACAGGATCATAATAAAAAATATTAATTGTTGAATTATTTAACAAAAAGTGACCTATAGCCTATAAACTTTAAAATCAAAATTAAAAAAAAAATAAAAACTTAAGCACTCTTTCATCGAATAATACATTCACATTTTATAGTAAGTAATTATCGGTTTTCAGAGTGAAATAAAACATATCTGAAAGTTAATAAATAATAATAATTAAATATCGAGAATTAAACCAACAATTGCTTTGAACCGTGAATTTTAAAATAATTACTGAATTTTTCATTCAAGATATACTTCTGTCATCGTCTATCTAAGAAGAAATTTAATCATTGTTGCTGTTATCAGGAAACAAGTCGACTACCATTATCATCTGTCTTTCATTGGACAGAAATGAAGTCTGAATACTACAATCAAAATATGTTTTAATGTTTATTAATTTCAACCTCCATTTAGGCAAAAGAAATCAATCAAATATCGACATGCGGCTTTTATTGAAATAAAAGATGTCGCAAAAACTAAATCCAAAGATTTTTTAGATGATTTTTTAAGAGCCTTAAACTCTATACACCTTAAACTCTTTAGCACCAATGTTTTCACTATGTTCTTATAGGTCTCCGTGTATCATTCTTCATCCCTCTGATAAATTTCATGAAGAGTAACTGTAACGATTTTTTATCTTAATTTTTGATAAGAATCCAAATTGGAAGACTTTCTAGGGATAGGGATAGCAAATAGATCATGATATATTATTACTACTTCCAAATTAAAAATTATCAGTGGGTTTCAGAAGTTCTGTTTCTTTTCAACAAAAAGTTGAATTAAATCCTACATTGTATTAAAAGTTTTATCGTTGAAAAAGTTCTAAAAATATCAATGTAAAAAATATTCAAGAATAATATATATCAGATAATTATAAGAATGAAAAGCATTTTAAAAAACCTAAAAGATAGGAATGTTCCAGAAATTCTTATGCGATTACAGAAACATAAAACATTATAACTTCAGGAAAACAATTGTAACTAATAACATAAAATTGATAATACATTAGATATAATAACTTTTCTGGAAATTATAAAATTATTCAGTAATTAAATTACTGAATAATAAATAAAATTAAAAAATATTTACTTGTAATTTCTAGATAATTTTTTATTAAAAGAGGCAAAAAAAGCAACGCCTTTGTAAAATACGAGTAAATAATAAACGAAACTTAATTATATGGAGAAATATATGTATATACAGAAATAATTTTTTTTTTTATGTTAAAAGTGAAGAAAACATAAATATATTTTTTCTACTGAGTTATTGATTGATTTTCAAAGCCATTTTCATAATTTTAATACGAATATGCAATGCAATCTTGCCATAGCACTTACCTAAATTTGGCACGGTAACAGTAACTTGCTTGTTTGATTCGAATTGAACATTAGCCATTTTATTTTTATCCACACTAGCGGGCTTGAAGTCATCTGTGTAATGGAAATATGGAGAGAAAAATATAGATTAGTCTGAGATTTCATTTTATTTCAAATTATTTTGATTGCTATGAAAACATGAGTAACCAACGAACCAATCTTATGCAACTCATGACAACAAAAAATGGTTGTTGCTTAAAAATTTTATGAATAATTATGCAACTTATTATTAGTCATACGATTTTTAATTATTTATTTAGACGTGGAATAAACCATGTTGACTATTTAAATTGAACGTAATGTATGGAATTGTTCATACCTAAAATAATAAAACTGAGTATTTCTTTAGTATATCTAATATACAAATATACAATAGTAAACATAGTAATTATTAATTATTAACTAGTGACTATTCATAGTAAATTTTATATTAACATTTTTACTAAAAATTGTTAATAACATTAGAATACTAAAACTAAATAAAATAAGTGATTAATTAAATAAATGAATCAATCGTATCATGCATAGCAGCTTCTGTCGAAGATATTGGTTATGGAAGTTATACTTTCTCTCTAGTTACCATAGACCCCATACAACAATGTGTGCACTAAAGATATATCTCCTTTCCAAATAGAAACATTTATGCAAACTTGTGTTCTATAACAATGTGTGCACTAAAGATATATCTCCTTTCCAAATATATCTCCTTTCCAAATAGAAACATTTATGCAAACTTGTGTTCTATAAAACTTGTCTGTAGTCTGACAACGAGCCTTCTTCTCAAGGGTAAAGTGCGTTCGTCTTTAATGATACAGATTACTACTAGATTCTGTTTAAGTATTTATATAGTATCAGTGTGGGCTTTGGACACAAGGTCAATACTCCAACCTAATCTAACATATCTTTTAAGTATACGCATTTGCTACTTTAAATTACTACTTCGCGAATTTTTTAATGAACTGCAGAAAGTTTTCCTCATTTACAGCAGTTCTACTAAATGCAATCACTTCAAACACTTCACCTTTGAAGAAATTACAAATCTGCCGTGTAATAGATTTCAAAAACCATTAATAAAGCATGTAAGAAACCTAGAGTATTATGCTATATGTATGCTATATGTTATTAATATCTTACAACTTATTTTTCGCAGAAATAAAGCATGACGATAGTGTGCCTTAATTCCAATTCTAAACTTGTAGTTTGTTTCCATTGAGATTGGAAAATTTCTAAACCTGATGCTTATCCACATCATACACTAATTATAATTATAATTCCTTTGAATTTCTTTCACGTCACCACTTTCCATCCCTATTCTCTTCTCTTCTTCTTCAGTTGTATTTTTTATTTATTTATAATATAGACTTTTCAAAGATTGATGAAGACCTGAAGTCGGGCTGTAACACAAGCACGTAGCTAAGGAGGCTTGAGGAGCTGAAGTCAATGATTCATCTAAACAAAATAAGTCAAACAATAAGCAGAAAAAAAAAATAATCTTGAAGATTACTTTTAAAAATTCCAATATGTATGAGTATTGTTTTAAATAAGGTACAAATAAATCTGTTACTTATCATTAATATTAATTTTTTTTATAATTTAAATTGATTTCTATCGAATTTTTAAACATTTTAGTAGTTTATTTGCTTTTCAAAGGGCATATTAATTGAAATCATTAACTTAATTTAATATTGGACTAACTTTACTACTGTTACGATTATATTATATATTACTGAATTTATATAAAACTGTACATTCATTTATTTGTATTTGATTTATCCTTTGGTTCAGACGGAATTTCCGCTACGAAATTCTAAGAAATATTCTAGTTTCATGGTCACAAAATAAAAAAGTTACCTCATTCCAGCAATGACATGCATTATTCATGTATTAGGACAAAAAATATAGTGAAAAGGTTTCAACAAAAGAAATATTAGCTCTGAAATACAATCTATTTAAAAAAAATGAAATGCAAATCGGCACCTGCAACATCATAAACTACCTCTAGGAAACCTGACAGTCCTGATAAAAAAGATTTATTTTTAGTTATGTGCACATTTTAGATTTTTTTTTTAAGCTGACGCAAGTTTTTATGTATTAATTGAAAAATTTCAATTATATAGTATAATATATGTTATAACCCGAATGTAAAAGCGTACTTTTTCAGGTTCAGAAATGTACTTTTTAAGACAAAAACTATTTTGTAGTAACAAAATATGTTATATGATATGAAATTTAGAGAAAATAGAAATAGTTTTATGAAATTCAGGGCCTAGAACTAATATTCTGAACTTCTGTGGTAAATTTTTTTTTCTGCAAGTCCACTAATTAAAAATAAAAATATATAAAAATATAAATAAAATATTCGACTATAAAATTATTTAGTCTAATGATTGATTTTATGATATACCCATTTCGAAACTAAATGTGATTTATCGCTCTATATTTTTATTTTGTTTAATTGTTAAATAATATATATATATATATATATATATTAATTTATTTAAATATTACATTGAATAATATTTTTTGAATGCAAATTAAAGGTTAATTCAGAATAAGTGAACTGCAATCAGAAAAAAGTAAATATTTTGAATTTATAATCATTTTTTAAGTTTTCGAAGGGTCAAGCTCTACGTTCAGAAACTACTCGTCAACGACGATTTGCGGATTTTCATTATTTCATTGTTATTGAAAGCGAACCTACTAAACTTTCTATGAACGCGAGAACTGTTCCGTTTATATTCTTATAGTATTTTCTTAAGATGTTTAATCTGCATTACGAAAGATATTAACATACCTGTCTGATCAATATATATATAATATATATATAATCAATTTATTTTAATATTTAACGGCAGTAATCGAATTAGACTGTGTTTATACAATATTTGTGAGTCTTAGCAGATTAAGTTAGAATTTTTAAACAATTTATTAAGTAATTCATTATTACATAATGATAATATATATTCTTATATTATATATAATATTATTATATTGTACATAATATTATTATATTATATTATTATGTATATTATATAAAAAGTTATTTATAATATAATATTGAACTATATTTTTTAAAAGTACTTGTTTTTGGAAGTGTGTATATAATATGTAACAATTTATATATGATCTATTTTAATTATTACAACTATTCTATATTGTATTTACAGCATTGAGATATCTACAGAAATATAATAGATATTAAATCTAGATTTAAATCTAAATTTAAATCTAAATCTAGATTTAATGTCTATTTGCTATAGACTATAGCAACTATCTAAAGTTAATATCTATTAAAAAATATGTTGAAATTTTTATAACCAGAAATCCATCTAAACATTAATACATATGAAATCTATTATATTTTAACTTTTATGAATGATTATTTTGCAAAATATTGTACTTACATTTTATGGTATGCAATGCCCGATTTGGATTTTTAGAAAAAGTGGAACCAAGTTTTAATTCACGCCGCTCAATGCCAATGTTTAAGCGATCAGCCAGTGAAGATTTTTGTTTCATCATCATCATTCCACTGTTTGTTATTGGACTGTGATTGACGTTGATGTTGTTGTGGTTTTTAAATTGGTAATTGTTGTTGTTATTGCTGCTATTATTGCTGTTACTTGATTGTTGATGTAATTTTGTTCCACGTTTTGTTGCGGTTGCCGCAGCAAATCCGCCAGTAACACCTTCACCAGCGCCACTTCGTTTGTAATTAAAACCAATTGCACCAGCAAAAGCAGTAGCACCGCTACCAACGTTCACAGATCCACCACCGATGCTGCCGACACGATTGTCTAAAAATCCTTCAATCGTTGTGGCTTGAGGCACTAATTGTGATTTTGGTACTTTATTATAAGGTTTTTTTGGGCAGCTGACAACAGTTGAGCCCACTGCAACCTTACAATTGAGGCGATTTGGTTGATTCGATGTATTAAAAATTTTAATGCTTTTCGTGCAATATAAAATTGCACACAATTTTCAAATGAAATTAAAGAATTTAAAGCTCCGTTCAAAAATAAAATAGCCAAATTATACTTTATAATTTAAGTCACTTTTTTTTCTCTTTTCTCAACTAATTAAGCACACTTTCCATTGAATTGAATTTTTAAATAACTAAAATACATTTTTTCACATATTATTTTTAAAAAAAATAAAACATATTTCTTTTTTTCGATTTTTTTTTATATTCAACACAAAACGCTAAATGCGCTAATTTATTCCAAATAATGCTATTACACTTGAACGCTTTGCCAACAATAAACACAAAAAATTCCACTCAATTCGTTGCTGCGGCTGCCAAATTTGCAATTCCACTTCGGCATATGTTTGCATCTCACCTTCTACTTCTCACATACACACACACATACATATACACACGTTCACATTATCAGAAATGCCCTCTTGCACACGATGTAAATTAGCCAGTAAAATAGGTAAATTTTATTAAGAAGCATATATTTATTAATAATTCATTTTACTATAACTGTTGGTTATAGCAAAATTAAGTTCTAAGAAAACTTTTTTACATACTCTCATTATTATATATTTGATATTATGTTTTAAATTGGTTTGAGACGTATTTTCTAATGACAATTGGATACGACCTCAAACACATTCACATGTTGTCTATGACGTTAGCTACGCCGCCTCTCGCATGTTGCTCTTTTTTATTTTTATTCAACTATGCCAAGGTGTGTGCTATTCTGTTCACTGCCTTATTTCTCACTGTACGTAGAAGACCAATATATTAATTTTAAATACGTACTTTTATACGTTTTATACATTAATATATTATAATAAATATGTTTAAAGTATAAGCAGAAAAGCATAAAATTATACATACATATATACAATAAAACGCTTTGACGTATATATTCTTATATCACAAAATAAGGCAGTATGCTTCCTATTGCGTCACTGAGTACACGTAAAATAAAATTTACAAACAAAAAGTACTTGGATTTGAGAGCATAGTGGTTGTTACGATGTTGCTTTTTAACAAGTGAAATTTGACAACATAAAATTAATAGATGCTTTAACAGATTTCAACTAAATAAATAATATTATAAGCACGCAATATGTAAAACATATGTCATATATACTTGCGTAGTTAACAAATACCCAAATTTATATTGCAAATAATTTAATATAAATACGTAGGATAATTACTTTGTCATATTGATATATCAAACAAAGTATATGGAAAATTAATTTGATTATTATTTTGTAGTTTATGCTTTATAACGTTGATAGATAAAGCAAACTATCAACACCAACCATATGTTGAAGTTTCAGTATTTTAGTCGAATTCTGTACGATCATATGCAACTGATCGCATTTAATTTTGTATAATAAAGGTCTTTATACCATATACCTTTCACTAAATGCAACACTGTTACTGATATTAAGACATGCTTCTCACTAGCAAAAAAAAAATTAAACAAACTTTGCATACAAAAACAAAAGCTAGCCAAAAACAATGTAGTTAAGAATGTGAGGAAGAATTGTTAAGCGTAAGGGGAAGTTTACTTGTTTCACAAGCAAGCACACGAGCAACAAAATTACTGAATTGAATGCCACAAGAAAATACAACAAAACATATGATTACAGCAGCAGGAAGAAGAGAGCAGTTACGAATTCGTAACAAATCAAGGCAGCAATCTCAGAAAGTAGGAAAATAGCAACAAAAAACTTTCACAAAGTAATCAACTACGGGTTGTCTGTCTGCGATTTACACATTTTTTTTTCAGATTTTTGGATTTTGTTCAGCAAACGTTACGTTTTTTATTTTATATATTTAGCACTATTTTGGCATATTATTTAAATATCTCCCCTCACTCATTGAACTGATTTGATATTAATGCCGACCGTCATTAACATGCGACACCTCGGAATTTATATTTTTGACGTAATTTTTTGCGACGCAATGAGATTTTTTTATGTTATTTGCAGAAAGGAATAAAGTTTACCTTTCTTCTTATTCACTTATTTATTAATTAACGAATATGAATTTTTAAAAATTTTTTACTTAAACTAAATAAACACAAAAATCCCGACAAATTTAAACGGCTTTCTAAAACGGCGGAGCAAGCGAATGTAATATTTCTGTCGTATGCTACTTTTGACATTTAGCCGTCAATATTTGTGAGAGAAATTTACGAGAGTATGCAATGAGCAGTGATGCCACACTTAAATATTATGAATAAATACATAACAACGGCGTTAAGAAATATGTTATGCTTTTACAATACTACGTATTACAATAGGCAGCATTATTGATTCAAAAATAATTATTAAGTTAAAAAATATTAAATTATTAACTATCCAAAAACTGAATAGTTTTTTCATTCATTTATTACTTTTGTTCTAACATGAAAGTAATAACTTTCATAAAATAAGTGTATTCTTTTGACATGAATGCTTCAATAGAACACGTGTTGCTTAAAAATTAACATGCAAAACAAAAATAAAACTCGAAAAAATTCATCCGCTTTACTGAAACTACTTAAGGAATAAGCTACTCGCATGACAATGGTGTCAAATCTTAAAACTGAAGTAATATGAATGATTTTTGAAAGAAAATGAAAAAATTCGTTCCGAAAACATGGGAATTTGTTTATTATTTATAATTGTTGCTATTAAATTAAAATATTTTAAAGAAGCAAGTTCTTTAATAAAAGTTGTGAAGATGACTGACAGGTTAATAATTGTGAAAAACTCATTCGTTAATTATTTATTAATGATTTTATAATTTTTGTATTATGTTCATTAAAATATACAATACACGAATATATACAAAACATGACAAGAAAAATAAAACACTGATAAATACTGATAATTTAGCATTTACTAGTGATGTTTGAATATTTGAAAAGTTTGAAAATTATATAAACGATTTTATTGACAATCTCGTATTGCTTTCTGAAGAACTGAAGCTTTTAAAAACTCCAAATATTTGATCTCGTTGTTTTTCCTTATTTCACTATTTTTTCTGTTATTATGGATAAATCCAAAAAAAATGTTCACTTTTATATAAATTCAAATACAGTATAAAATGCTCACCAATAACTTTTTTCATTCAATTTATATATATTTCTATAAAAAAACTTTTTCATAAAATTATCTGCAGGTATTTTTGTATTTATATGTATTTATCAACCATAAAGTTTAAAATTTTGAATATTTGTTTTATTGGATTATTCATATAAAAAAAAAACACTTAATATAATGCGTATATAAAGCACAAGTGAACTGTATTCTGAAATATGTACTGGCATTACTTAAGGCGGAGTTCCTTCATTTAACTATATTAACACAAATATTTTACACTTTCAATTTAAAATTAGTAAACATTTTATATACCTAAATATTATTACACATTATTAGTACTGTAATATAGTTCATTTGTGCTTTATATACGCATTATATCAAGTGTTTTTTTTACATGAATAGTCCAATAAAACAAGTATTCATGTCAAAAGAAAACACTTAATATAATGCGTATATAAAGCACAAATGAACTGTATTACAGTACTAATAATGTGTAATAATATTTAGGTATATAAAAGGTTTACTAATTTTAAATTGAAAGTGTGAAATATTTTGTTTAATATAGTTAAATGAAGAAACTCCGCCTTAAGTAATGCTAGTACATATTTCAGAATACAGTTCACTTGTGCGTTATATACGCGTTATATTAAGTGTTTTTTCTTTTGACATGAATACTTGTTTTATTGTACTATTCATGTAAAAAAAACACTTAATATAATGCTTATATAAAGCACATATAACTGTATTAGAGTACTAATAATATGTAATAATATTATTTATATAAAGGGTTTACTAATTTTAAATTGAAAGTGTGAATTATTTTGTGTTAATATAGTTAAATGAAGGAACTCCGACTTAAGTAATGCCAGTACATATTTCAGAATACAATTCACTTGTGCTTTATATACGCATTATATTAAGTGTTTTTTTTTTTTGACATGAATACATGTGTTATTGGACTATTCATGTCAAAAGAAAACGCTTAATATAATGCGTATATAAAGCACAAATGAACTATATTGCAGTACTAATAATATGTAATAATGTTATTTATATAAAAGGTTTACTAATTTTAAATTGAAATTGTGAATTATTTTGTGTTAATATAGCTAAATAAAGGAACTCCGCCTTAAGTAATGCCAGTACATATTTCAGAAAATTTTTGAATGTTATTTAATTATAAAAGGACAAAATTCATTGTGTACAGACAATTATAAAGTTTGCGTACTCACGATTTTTACTTACTCCAGTGTTTTATCTGTAATTTATTCCAAATATTCCGCTTGTTTCTCAATCGGTAAGCAGATTCCTTTAACTGCTGGTCTCGTTATTTTTAAATAGTTTGCTGCCATATTCTATATTTGGTTAGTGACTATTGGATATGTATTTTTTTCATTATTATAAGATTATATATGTATAACAATATATGACAAACCTTAAGAAGTATTGTGATCATGAAGAAAGTCTTCTACACTAACCCTTTAAACCTATTGTTATTAATAGGTAAATTCGTTTCATTTATTTTAAATTAAACACGTTTCGTAAAAGATATAAACCTATCTGTAAAAGGTTGTAATTAACATGAACGTATTCAATTAAGAAATCAGCCATTTCAGTTCTGTTTTTCTAATATCTTTTAAAAGTACTCAAATACTCTATAAAACTGATATCTCTCAGAAATGCTCAAATATTACGTATAAATTTCAGATACTCATTTTTGTAAATATGTCGAATCGATCATGTTGAAGTATTTAAGCGAAAGTAGTTTTGTTTATTTTAGTTATTTCAGATATGAGACCTTATTGTATGGAACCAACTTGAGTGTAGTGTTTCAAAATTGGAATGATTATGTAGTTGCCTGACTATTTGAAGATATGATCTCGCTTAACGTTTTCGTGTCGTTTTCTGAGTCATGGTTAATGGGATGTCTACTTGTACTTATTTTTTTTTTAC